ACCTTGGGGCTGCCCCTCTGCTACGTCAGGAAAATGCTGCTCACAAAGAAGGAAGGAAGGTGTGATCCTTTTTTTGTGCTGGAAAGTGGCTTCCTGGGAAATCTCGGTGGTGTGATCCAGGGAAAGGAGAGGGAAGGGAGAATGAGGCTTCTGAAAGAGGAAACCACCAGTTGAGCGACAAGAACCACACGTGCAACAGGATGTTCACGATTTGCCTGGACTCTGGGAAGTGCCCGCAGGAGACTCCGCATCTGCTCTAGGTCTGTATGATGCAATCTGAGAAAATGCAGTCTGGAGAAAGGCCTGTATGGGTTTCATGTGTTTAATTCCAAAAGAGCAGAGAGCTGTCTTGGGGAGAAAAAGAGTGGTTAGAAAATGAGGCCAGGAGAGAGTGAGGTGCCACCACGTCGAAGGCATTGGGACAGATGCTGCACCGCCTCCCGGTGCCTGTCACCCCTGCTGCTCACATCTTGTTCTCCGCAAGCCCCTGGGCTGGTCCAGAGGCTGTACTCGAGGACAGGGCCTTAGGGGCACCTGTTCTGAGTGGGAGCTGGAGGGAGAGAAAGACATGTAGGGACAGTCTCAGGAAGAATTGCTGGGCATCATGAAAGTCACCTTCCTTCGTCATTTTCCCAAACCACAGTGATAAAGATTTAAATTGCATTTCATTTATTTTTGGATGCTGTGTGACTTTTTCAAATGCAACATCAAGTCAAAATAGGGGCCAAGTTACCCCAGCTTTACAAGGATTGCATAACATAAGGGTACACATGCCTCTCATCGAATGCTCAATTCATCCATGTCATTAATTCCCCAACACTGACCAAGCGCCAACCATGTGCTTAGTCTCTTCATCTCCCACCTCGGTCAAGCCTTAGGAAACCCTAGCTGCACTCCAGGTCACGGGGTCACTTAGGCCAGGTACTTGTCCAGTGTTCATCCTGCTTGTAGACAGAGCGCAACATCACAACATCGTAAGTACCCAGCCCTACAGCGCAGCTACGATACCAGCTCATGGTTAGCACTAAGGGCAGAGCCTGTGCTAATTACTTTAAGTGCATTATCCCATTTAATCTTCACACTAACCCAATACAATGGATAACTGAAATTATCTCCATTTTACAGATGAAGAGCCCAAGGCACAGAAACTTTGTCCAAAGTCCTGAAACAAATATACGGCACAGTTCAAATTCAGACCATGAGTCTCTTTAATGACAAAGTCTTTGCTCTTAACACTAAATTCTGCTGTCACCTTGTTAACCAAAGTACTACATAGTCAAAGAGTCTGAATTAATCAAGTCTAAATGACAAAATGTAGGAAAAAGAAATCTTTTCATTATTTACTTTTAAGTACATAACAGAACCGGGTTAACTAAATGTTACTGAGCAGTTCTGTTTTGATGGATGACTTTCAATAAATGTTTTTTAGTAACCGATAGAAATAATTCTTATCCATTAATGTTTAATTGACACATCATTTTCCTGCCAAAGTAGTACTGTCAACTGCTGATCATTGAATGTTACTGTCACATTGAATGTTACTGGATTCTGTTGGAGGTCTTAAGATTATAAAGCTTCCATTCAAAATCTTTTAACAGTATCCAATTGTTTAGAAAACCTGTCATGTCCCAGCTCTGGGGAATCATCATGTATTCCATATTAATTAAGTCTGCTTTAATAAACTACTCACAATAGTCTCATTGCTACGGGAAGAAAAATTAACTGTGCAGAGTCAGCCAGCCCTGCGGGGATGGGACCACAGACTAGCTGTGGTGAGTATTTGTGATTCTTTCTGGCTGTCAGCATATAACTCACCTTCCCATGTTTGGGGAATTTCTCACCTTGTGAATCTTGGTGCTGGAAAAAGACCACTCCCCGTTATAGGGTGTGAAAGCTCGACTCCACCTCTTTTGCTAGGGTGGGGCATGTGACCAGTGGATCCTACCCGTTGGCCCCTGATTCAACTGCTAGTGATACAAAGAGCAGGACCTTCGCTAAATCCATTCCACAGAGCAGGGTGGCTGCGGCAGTGGCTACGCCCAGGTTCAGGGGCAGCAGCTGACACCACTGGGGTCAGAGGTGCAAGCAGCAGGGGCTGGGCCCAGGGGTGATGCCAATGACATCCTCACAGCACCAGTTCTGCACTGCACTTTAGGACTGTGGTCCTGTCTATAGCATCCGAGCCCGGTTCCCAGCACACGCAGGGAGTCTAGGAGCTTCCTAATATCTTATAATAAATTCCTTTTCATCAGAATCATCCAAAGATGGTTTCTGTTGCATTGAGGTTAAGAACCACAACACTAGAACTGTACCGTGAAGCATTTGAAGAGCCAGTATCAGGTGTCTCTGAACCAAAGTTTGGAGTTCAGATTCAAAACCAACAGGTGCAAATGGTCAGACACAGGCTGGGTGGGACAGGACTGCTTTTGGACTGCTCTCCTGGAAGGCCCAGGACTCTGCCCATGGGAGCTCTTCTCTGCATCTGGCACCATGGTCGCCATGAATTCAAACAAAGGAAAAGCCAGCTGCACCTCAAAGCTAATTAACGTGCTGAATGAAGCTCTATATGTGGGGTCCAAGTTTGTCACCTGGTGTGGCTTAACAGGAACCCCCTCCCCCACCCTCAGAGAACTGTGCACTCTGTGAGATCAGGGTCCTTTCTGTCTTGTGAGTCAGCAGACTCCCTGCATCTGGAGTGCAGCAGGTGTTCAGTGACATTAAACTACTCTGAGCCACAGTTTTCTCATCTGAGAAGTGGGGGGAAACATATTTATCTGGCAGGTGTTGCAAGAATAGACAACGTATGTAAAGCATCTGGCACAGTACTTAGTATTTAGTAAGTAACAACTGGTAGCAACATTATTATTATTATCTTTCTAGGGGTGGCATCAGGGCAGCTGCTACAAGAGCATTTGCGGTCCCCGTGGACCATGCAAAATATAGAAGCAAAGCACAGTTGAGAGGCCCGTTACTATAGTACAAATAAGCACAGTGAGGGGAGGGCTCGAGATAATGGCCCCTGACATTCATGTGTAGAAAGTCCAGGAACACTGACTCCAGAGGTGACCTTGGGGGTGGGAATTGGGCGGTGATGCTGCATCACCAAACAGCTCTGTAGACTCACCACTCGGTGGAACCCTCCTCCGCGGGGTGGTCTGTTTAAGCAGTTTAGCAGCAAAGGCATGGGGGAGGTGCAGCGGTGCAGGCCTCCCCCACATCCAGACACTCTGTGCAGACGGCAGGCAGGCAGCTGATGGATTGGGTTTTTTATGGAACAGAGTATTTAAATTTAAAATCATATATGTCTATAGTTTTTTTTAAAAAAAATTAAATAGTACAAAAGGAGGTAAATGGAAAAGTCAGCATCCCTATCACCCCCAAACCTTCAGGCAGATTCCCCAGAGATAATCATCAATATTTCTTACAGATATTTTTAGGCAAACACAAGGCTATATGCATAGTTTTTCACAGAGGGGAATCATAAAAAGCTGATCTGAAACTTGCTTTTTTCCCCTCTTCTCACTTTATTTGTCCTGAATAGCTTCCCATATCAGTGTGTGCAGATTGACCTCCTCATTTCTAACAACTGCTCTATTTATAAGGTAACATAACAGATAAGCTCCCAGGTCTCAATAGACTACATAATTGAAATTTATTTCTCATTTACCTTAATCCAATTGGTGATCAAGTGGGGAATGGGGGGAAGAAAGAGGTTCTGTTCCTAGCACTGATTCAGGAATCCAGGGTGACCAAGGCCCTGCCACTTTCAACATGTGACTTCCACATGTGGCTTCTAAAGTCACCCTGGTGACACTATCCAGCCAGCAGATGGGGAAAGAGAGTGGAAAAGGGTGAGAAGTTAGTTTTACAGAGAACCACATCTAGAGGTGACAGCTAACACTTCTGCCCACATCCCATTGGCCAGAACTTGAAGAGCCCCCACCCCACACAACTACTAAGAGATGTGCTGGCCGGACAGCTGCTTCCCCACAACCCATGCTGTAGAAGGGGAGCACAAACCTTTGGGGGACGTCAAATACACACAACACAGTTGCACTGTAGGAATACCTCGGGATTTATTTAAGCTCTAGAAAGCTAGTTTTCTTCTTCTCTTTCTTCTGCTTTTCTACCTGTCTTTTGTCAAAGGCAAGTTTTTAAAGTGTGGAATGATACCACGTAACAAGAATGAAGAAATAAGAAAGTGGACACCTGGCACCACTGCTGGTGGGTATACATACCAGTTCAGGTTTTGTTGGGTAGGGAGAAAACTCCAATGAAAAAGCCTTCTAAAGGATGCATAACTTTACATCTAAGGATGTTTCTTAAAGAAATCAGTGGGTCACAACTCATGTCTGTGTATACAAGGATGTTTATAACAGTCACACATTGTAAGCAACTTTGATGCCCAACCACAGAGAACTGTTTAAATTACTGTGTACGTCCATATAATGGAATACTATGCAGGTATTTAAAATGATTGTGTAGATACCAGCAAACATAAAAATGTCCATGATACCTTATGATAAAAAAAAGTAAGACTCCTAAAGTACAATTTTTTAAAAAACAAATTGATATATGTAACAAAAAGGCTAGAGGACACATTCAAATTTTTGCAATATTTATCCCTGGGGAGTTGAACTCCAGGTGTTTTTCACTTTCTTCTTTTATACCTTTCTGTATTGTGTCGATATTTTATCATTAAAAATAAAACCAGCAAATCTATTTTCAGATTGAAATGAAAAAAAAAAAAAGTAGATAAAGGGGACTGGGGTTTAGGTGATTAAAGGCAAGCATGTGAGTCAGACATGGCCTGCTGGCCCTGCCTGTCTGTTGGATCTGTTGCCTGACACTCAAGTTGCTATCAGGAGCACTTTTCTCTGTCAAAGAGACTGGCTTTTGTCACGCAATCCCCAGGTTATAATGGGAAGGAAGGACGGGCCCCAGAGCAGTCGGCAGAGCCAGCCCCGCTTGAGTCGGTCACCGTGGCTCGCCATGCCCCGGCCTCCGCATGGGGAACGCCATCAGGGCCCTCGTGGCCTTCATCCCTGCTGAGCGCTGCCAGAACTATGTGGTCAGAGACCTCCAAGAGATGCCGCTGGACAGGATGGTGGACCTCAGTGGGAGCCAGCTGCGCCGCTGCCCTGTGCACGTGTGCTCCTTCAGGGAGCTGGTCAAGCTCTACCTGAGTGACAACCACCTCAACAGCCTGCCTCCAGAGCTGGGGCAGCTGCAGAACCTGCAGATCCTGGCCTTGGACTTCAACAACTTCCGGGCTCTGCCCCAGGTGGTGTGCACCTTGAAACAGCTCTGCATCCTCTATCTGGGCAACAACAAACTCTGCGACCTCCCCAGTGAGCTGAGCCTGCTCCAGAACCTCCAGACCCTGTGGATCGAGGCCAACTACCTCACCCAGCTGCCGGACGTGGTCTGCAAGCTGAGTCTCCTTAAGACTCTGCATGCCGGCTCTAATGCCCTGCGTCTGCTGCCAGGCCAGCTCCGGCGCCTCCAGGAGCTGAGGACCATCTGGCTCTCAGGCAACCTGCTGACCAATTTCCCCCCTGTGCTGCTTCACATGCCTTTCCTGGAGGTGATCGATGTGGATCGGAACAACATCCGGTACTTCCCCAGCCTGGCCCACCTGTCAAGCCTGAAGCTGGTCATCTATGACCACAATCCTTGCAGGAACGCACCCAAAGTGGCCAAAGGTGTGCGCCGTGTGGGAAGATGGGCAGAGGAGACACCAGAACCTGACCCCAGAAAAGCCCGGCGTTATGCGCTGGTCAGAGAGGAAAGCCAGGAGCTACAGGCACCTGCCCCATCTCCCCCAGCCCCTCCTAGCAGCTCCTGAGGAGCTTTACTTATAGGCCAGTGACAAATACGTTCCAGAGACCTCTCCATTAGAGTGGAAAGTATTGCTCTGGGTCCTCTGGGGTGGCCCTGCCAGTAGGGGCTGATGGAGAGCTAGGTAAAATGCCATAGCCACATCACACGGAGAAGAAAACATTTCTGGCCAACAGCATCTCTCCAGAGGGAAGTTGTCATGCTATTGGTGGCATAGCAACCCAGAGTGATCATGACTTCTAAGAAAATGGCTTCTCCAAGCAGTTTTTGAAATAGTGAAGAGGAAAGGCCGGGGCACTTTGGCCCAGAGTGGCTGGTCATGAGGCTCATGACCTCTTCAAATAAGGTATTTGTTGTAGAACTAAGTGTTCAGGGGGCCTGCCCCTTTGCAAGATATATATTCTTTCCTATGAATGACCACAAAGAATATCAAAGTATTGTTACTGATTCAGGCCACTGAAAAGGATATTTCTACCTAGTCCATCAGTCAGATTCACAGAAAAAAGGCTTTTTGTTGCAAAGGCTCGAGATCAAAACATGTCCCCCAGCAGCTTAGCACCTGCTGAAAAGCCCCCTGATGGAGAAAGCCTCTTGGTGGAGTCCGGCTGCCACTTTAAACTTGACAGTGGTTCGTGTTGATTTAGTTCGTTTCCCCTAAAAGGTTTGACCCAAGGTCTGCTCCCGACAGTTTACTGTCACTGACAATGTTGGAAGTCATCTGGAAAGCAGAACCTCTCTTCGGCAATGCGGTCTCATGTAAGTCAAGCCTTGTGATTCCTGGCTGCTTCCCTGAGGAAGAGCCCTTGTTTATTCACATTAATGAACCAGATCTGAGCTCAACTGAATCCCCGTCCTTGGAGGGAAACCACATTTCCAGAAACCTAGTAGGTTAAAGGTAGTCAGTGAGAAATCTGTTCACTTGAAACAAGCACTTTGAAACTTGAATTGCAGGGTTGTAGTGTACATATGAAATCTCTGCCTCTGCAGTCTCTGCCTACTTAGTCTCTGCCTAAGTATCTCTGCCTTTGTTCTGATTTGTTTTTGTTTTTATTTTTATAGAGTCTTTTGACAGTGTATACACTTCGGCATTTTGACCATTGTTTTTGGAAGTATGTAAATTGTGACCTTCCCATGAATATATAAACTTTAAAGAAATTTCTGTCAGTGGATGATTTAATAACACAATCTCCTTAATGTGTTTGAACTTTTTCAGCAAACAAAAAGTATCATCTTAAATAAAACATACTTTACTGAGCTTTTAAAAAGTACTTTTCCCAAAAAAGCATCTTAACCCAGCAAAGTTTGCTTCTAAAATGACATCATACAATAAGACTATTTCTATGTATGTCTTCCTACCAGAAGTATTTCTTGCTAAACCAGAGGAAGAGAAAGTTCCATGATATTGTATAATCCCTTCCTACTGTCACCTCCTATCTGCAGGGCATCTGCAACACAGTGATCAGACTGCCAAAAGGGCCCTTCAATCATTTAATATAATTAATAGGTTATACCTATAGGTCAAACATGGTTAACTCCTTTAGTAACACGTTCAGATTTCTATTAGACAGCTAGGATTTAGAGTCTTTTCTCATTCCTAATGATTGAAACCCAACTATACTCAGCTGATGATAGAAACTTTTGTCAACAGAACTTGCCTTCTAAGCTTTATCTACAGCAAAGTTTATGGATTGCTGACTTTCTTTTGACCCTCTCTTCTCCCTCCCAAGATTAATGGGCCCACCTTTTCTAATGTAGCTGAACTATAGCCATAAAACAGAATGAAGCCAATTGATCATATAGAGCTCTCATCTAATGAGCTAACTGGTCCGAATTAAATGTCAAATTATAAACATTTTGGCCTATAGTCAAGCTGTTTTCTTCTAAAACAATCAATACACAACAAATCAACATTTCTCAAACAATATGGTTGAGCATTCACTAAATTTGCTATTCAAAAATGTTTTCACTGTAGGTTTTCGAGGAATCTTATAAAGTATATAAATGCATACTTACATTTCTATAACCCTTCTGATGTTTTCTGGAAATGTTGACATAATTAGAAAGCAAAGGAACAAAAAAAATGTTGAAGCACCAAATACAACCCTTTTACTCCTGATTTTAAAACCCAAAGGGTTAATGCATCAAAGGGAAAATCTCCTCTAAAAGTTTACATAGGACTTCAGCTTCCATAAGTCATACCAGCTAAAACCTTTATAACACGGATTCAATGGAAATGAATCAGCAACCACGCTTGCTTCTTTATTTTTTCCTAAAACGCAATATCACTACAGTTTGTAATTTTACACCTAAAAAGTAGGCTTCTGCCCTAAAAATCAACTGAATTCAAACAACTTTAATTAAAAGTACGTATCAAACACATAGTGACCCAGAGGCAGAGAGCATGGCCCTTCAGACCACCTGGGTTCAAATCTTAGCTTTGCCACTTACTAATCACTTATCATCTGTGTGCCTCAGTTTCCTCATCAGTAAAACAGTATGTTTCTACCTCACAAGGCACTGTAAGGGTTAAACCAATTACTGTGTATAAAATGCATAGAACACTGTCTGGCGTGTGATAATGAATGTATACATAACATGTTTTTTACTAAGTCGTATATCATGCAGCACAACACTTATATTTACCCTAAAATCAGTATAATTCCTGTCTTAAAGAAAAAAAACCTCAGTGGCAATAGAACAAAAAGGCTTTTTTCTCCCTCAGTAAATTTTCAACCATGGTATATGTAGTCCTAAATATAAGAAATATAACCACAATTTGGTCAAATGCTCCTGGATTACCTAAATAAGAAAACAGACATGATTGTTTAACAAGGATTCGTTTTTTAATTTCTAAATGAAAAGTCTGCTCCCCCATTGTTAGTCTACAATTTACAAAAGCACCTAAGTACTTGAAAACATGATACGCGCCAGGCAGGCGCGGTGGCTCACGCCTCTAATCCTTGCACTCTGGGAGGCTGAGGCGGGCAGATTGCTCTAGGTCAGGAGTTTGAGACCATCCTGAGCAAGAGCGAGACCCTGACTCTACTAAAAATAGAAAGAAATTAATTGGCCAACAAAAAATATATAGAAAAAATTAGCTGGGCATGGTGGTACATGCCTGTAGTCCCAGCTACTTGGGACGCTGAGGCAGTAGAATTGCTTGAGCCCAGGAGTTTGAGGTTGCTGTGAGCTAGGCTGATGCCACGGCACTCACTCTAGCCTGGGCAACAAAGTGAGACTGTCTCAAAAAAAAAAAAAAAAAAAGAGACTGTGAGGGCTGTCCGGAAAGTATCCAGCCATCATTAATATAACAATGGCTACATGGCTGGATACTTTCCGGACAGCCCTTGTATTCCTTGGCACTAGGGGCAGGAGGAATGTGACTGAAGTCAGGAGTCCTGCTGTTAATACTTTTACTGTCTTTTTGTCATTTTTTTAAAAAACCATACTCCTTGTTATCTATCATAGAAAGGATACTATTAAAAAACAACAAAAATAAAAAATAAAAAAATAAAAATAAATAAAAAACAACAAAGTATGTATTATATATGCTTCTTTTCCCTTCTGGATTACTTCTGGAAAATGGGAAGCAGATCTTATCTGACTCCGCAGTTCCAGCATGCTACTTGATTATGGAAGATTTTATCACGGATCCAGGCTGTAGGACAGGAGGCAGGCTGACATGTGGAGCACCCTAAAGGTCACGTACTATCTTCAGGGTCTTAATTTAATTCATATAATCTTTTCAATATTCCTTTGAAAATAAGGTGTTATATAGAGCTCATAATTTAAAACTCAGACATTTGAAATAAGGATTGTCTTTATTCTTCTACTGGGAGAGAAAACAGAGAAATGTTACCCAAACCCATTAAGAGCTGAGAGCCATGGAAGAAGAGTTGCCTAGCCAAGACGTAGTAGGTCCTGCAGGGATGCAGCTACTTCCAAAGAGCAAAGTCAAGAAGAAAACAGATTTCCTCTCCCCATATTCTGCCAACACCTCTTAAACCAACAGAACACCAGTTCACAGGGAATTGTGAAAGAGGCAGCTGGCAAGGGTAAGCCTGCATGGCCTCAGAGCAGATGAAAGCTGGATTTGGGAATGAGGAGATAAAAGGATTGCACACACAAATCATCCTTCTTTGAAGAAAGGCTGAAGCAACTTGGATAGATGTAAAAATCTTAAGCACATAGACAAGTTTCTATGCAGTGACAATAACTATTAATGTATATTCCAAATTTCTATTTCCCTTCCACAAGTCTTCTGAAAATAAAAACTCACTGCTTCCATACTTGCTGTTTCTGAGTTGAAAGAAACTATATCAACTTAAAATCACTATAGAAATTAGAGGGCCTAGGCTGTACTTACCTCTGATACTAAAGATTTTAAAATTTGTGAATTTGAGATTTTTCTGAAGACAACAAAATTTGTAAGGGCTTCAAAGGATACAAACTCAAAGAAGGAAAAGAGCATGGCTGTATTCTTGGATACAATAATTGTTTCCACATTTCTACCTCCTTTTAGATTAATATTTAGTGACCTTTTTAAGGTCTTTGGAGAAAATGTGCCCAAGTATCCTCTCAGATTAAACTAACTCCAGGCTATCTGGTCTCTCAGTATAGACAAGCCGACCTCTCCCACGAAACCTCTGCGGGTTTTCAGTCATATGCTCACCTGGCTCCACCTTCCTCAGTTGTGGGGATCACACCTACTATATGACATGATAAAGCACTTAAAAAAAATCACAGTGGATGGTACTGCTATGGTACTAAAAGAAGTCTCTTTGATAACACTAAATTTTTCCACTTTTATGAGACTGGGGCCGGGCACAGTGGCTCACACCTGTAATCCTAGCTCTCTGGGAGGCCAAAGCGAGCAGATCACTCAGGGTTAGGAGTTTGAAACCACCCTGAGCAAGAGCGAGACCCCGTCTCTACTATAAATAGAAAGAAATTAATTGGCCAACTAAAAATATATATAGAAAAAATTAGCCGGGCACAGTGACGCATGCCTGTAGTCCCAGCTACTCGGGAGACTGAGGCAGAAGGATCATTTGAGTCAAGGAGTTTGAGGTTGCTGTGAGCTAGGCTGACACCATAGCACTCTAGCCCAGGCAACAGAGTGAGACTGTCTCAAAAAAAAAAAAAAAAAAAATACTGAGACAAACTTTTAGATGCTCTAACTCCCCCAGCCCCACAAAAAATATTGGTGTATCAATGTTTCTTTGAAAATCCTTTGCTCTTTTTTGGGAATTGTACATAAGAGAGATATCCAACTTAAAAACACACAACCTATTGCTAGGCTCTTTTATTTCTTGTGCATTGTTATATACTGATGTATCAATCTAAATCTAAAGTAGCCTGTAAATCATCAAACTCAGTACATACTTACGCCCATTCTCTTGTCCATTTACCAAAAGTCTAGGGGGAGGGGGAAACAGTGCTTAAGTCTTAACTATACCCATCTTCTTTAAGAGAGTGTTAGCTCACAAAACACTTGGAGAGGTGCTTGGACCATCATGCAAT